AAGCACTAGAAAAGAGAAATACTACATAAATCGTATAAAGTAATCAAATGTAGAAAAAACATGGCATAGTTTTAACTATGTAAATTAAATATACATTTATTCTTATTAAATCAACAAAAGTGATTCGGTCAAGAGCAGTGAGAGATTTTCTCTTGTTGTTTAAAATGATGGCAGATAGAAGCAGGAATATTAGGCTGCTGTCACTTTAAGAGTGAATGCACAGATCCAATATACTGTTACACGTGTGCTTTCTTTCTCAACTGGTTACCTTCACTTAAGAGATAAATGACTGTTTATGAGGATACTTGCAAAGACGGGCATTTTGACACACAAGTATACGTATATTAAACCGTTTAAGCCAAATAAGACGGCAAAAACAACTTTTTTCAAAAACAAAAACAACAGCATTTCCCGAAAGCATCGTTATCCAACTATGATCGCAATTTCCATTGAACTCTATTGGTAACGACGGAACTTGCTACCATAGTTGGCTTTGGGAAACACACCCCAGAGCAGTGGCTTTATATGCTCAAGTCTCTCAAGAGTTCTCTTTAGCTGCTTATTGCTCTTCAACAGTTTAAAATCATCTGTTAATAAACCGCAATGCTTTAAAATGCATGCAAACGATAAGCTTTCGTGACCACACGGCACAGCAAAATCTATACCGGTTGACACATTTCTACCAGTTAATCGCGTCTATCGCTCACCCCTATCTGGAGGTCTGAACTCTTTCATGGCTATCATAAAACAACGCATTCTCATCCCAAGGCGTCATATACTGACGCTTTTGCCAAAGCGTCTACATCCGACGCACATGGCACCCTTTAGCGTCAATATAACACGCTTCGGTTATGGGTAGGTTTAGGTCTGGGGTAGTGTTAGGGTTAGACCACTAGGAGGCGCCATATATCTGCGTCTCATATTGACGCTAAAGGGTGCCATGTGCGTTGGATATAGACGCTTTGGCAAAAGCGTCAGTATATGACGCCTTGAAAAGCATTACTTCTCCATTAGAAGAATGTTCTTGGCCTGCTGTGCAGGTCTTTATCACTGCCTCTACATTATATTTCCCTTTTTAAGTCATCATCAAGAATTTTGCAACATCTCTCTGAAAATGATGTCATCTTCTGTGATCAAAAAAGAACATTTGGTGTTAGCATGAGATTCATACTGTTCAAGAATCATCCTTAGATCATTAAGAAATGTAAGTGCAGAAATCTTTCTGGAATTTGAAAGCATGTATGATGAGTTGATCATAAACAGCCTTTGGGCAAAGCTGAGATTTTGCTGATATTTCTTTATCACAGCTCTTAAACTGCTTTGTGAATGTTTGTATGTGCACAAACTATCCTGGGACAGTTTAAAAATTGTATAGCAGAACAGATCAGAGTGTAAACAGAGATTATATTCATTGAAGTGGAACACAGCTGTGCAAATGATGCGACCAAAGTTATGAAAATATGTTTGTATGCAAGAGGCCAAGTTGGCCCAGACTTGTAAAGTTTAAACTGTGCAGAATGACTGTATGGCTGCAACATTATTTTATTAAAAAACACAATGAGCTGAGAATTTCATGAGGTCATGTTCAATGAAAGAAGGTGAGAAAAACATTCTTCACAGAATGCTGATTGTCAACCCCGGGATATCAAAGTTATTATGATCATTTTTGTGTTATTAGTAGTTTTTATTAGAACGAAAGTCTTACGGGTTTGGAACGACGTAATTAAATTAATTCAATTAACAGAATTTTCATTTTTTGGGTGAACTTTTTAATGCATTTTATCTTTTATCTTTTTAGATGATAAACATCAAGATGGTTTATATATAATATAACAGTAAAATGGTGGCGAAGAGAAAATGTTTGATCCCAGCTTGGCATGAAAATGGCTTTTTTGAAAGCTTTTTATATTGTATCTGTCATATTGTGTCCTTCCTTCCTTCCTTGTAAGGAGATGAGTGCACTTTAACTGCTTTATTATTATAAAGTGTTGAAATGATAAAGGCTTATAATAGAGCCAAGAACTCTGATGATTGCATCGCCCAGATTCATTTGTAATTGAATAGCAGATGGGAATATTAGAACATGATGTTGAGAGATTTCTTTTCTTTATCTGCAGTTCAAAGGGATGTCAATCCGAAAAAGGAGTGGGTTCCTTCTATCCCATTTGTGCGTTCCCTGAGGCTGAGTGAGTTCCCGACCGAAAATAATTCAAGCAGGATGTACTGTAGGCACTCCTAATAATAACTACACAATCAATAATGCTGTGGAAAAGACTATTTTACATCAGCTTTTCCCTTTCTCTAATCAATAGCTTACAGTTTTAAGAGAAGATAAGTATATGTTTTAAAATGTCAAACATGCTTATCTGTGCATTCTACAGAAAGCCATTAGTGATATCTTCTTTGCTCAGTATATATAACACAATGAGAGATTAGTTTAAATGAAATCAGTGCATGTTAATTGAAATTTCTGGAGCAAGTAATTAGTTTGCTGTTCCTGGTGACCTTCAAGCTATATGTCCACACTTGGATTCGAAGCAATTTATAGAATCAATGTTAAGAATTAGGGTAACACTTTATTTTAAGGGGATTTGGTTTATTTTTAGGGATTTACTCAAATAACTTAGTAATAGACTACATATATACTTTCAGTTACGGTTAGGGTTTGGTTTAGGATTAGTTACTTGTAAGTATGCATAATGTACTGTTATTTCTTTAGTAAGTACATGTAGTAATGTGTAAATAACATCACCTTAAAATAAAGTTACCAAAATTGGACCTCTTATTTTTTTTTTTTTTTACATTTATGTCAGTGAATGTTTTAGTGAATATATTTTCTATCCTGTTCTCATCAATGGATCAACAAACCATAAAGCACAAATTCATATTTTTATTTTCCACAGAACCCACAATAAGCTGATTTTTATAATGCTGATTATTCTGAAAAAAATATTACATGACAAATTTTTTTTTCTCTGAGAATTTTCTGTTTCCTCAAGGAAATGATTCTTGGTAATTTATCCACTAGTTTAGTTATCTGTAAACAGATCTTTCAGACAAATCATTAAATAATCTACAAGTAGGCCTATATTTACTCTATTAATTCAGGTAAACAGGATTACATTACTGTCAAAATTGACAATTACATTTTTTTTCTATGGAATAATGCTTATTATAAACAAATTGTCTGTGCACGGCCTTATTTCTTTAAAATTCATTGCCCTTATAAACTTGATTCAAAATAACTCCCTCTTGCAGCGACATCTCTTCTCTGATGATGTGTTTACTGCATGTCGTGAGGGCGGGGCAACCTGTCACTCACATGAGATCCACCAATGGCAAACCACAACCATCCAATCAATTCCCCATGGACAAAATCAAACCCCGCCCTACATTTTTACCTGTTCGAGAAGCCGTTAACTATAAATCACAATATAGGGAAGAAAAGACTGTCTTAAACTTCCTTTTCATGTCGATTTAATGTCACAATGAGAGCAGAACATCCGGTCATGTGTATGAAAGATATTTCAAAGATATTTTTTATAATCTTTGTTTAGTCTTTTTTATTATATTTACGTGTGTGTGTGTGTGTGTGTGCGCACACAAAAAGTAAACTAGTCTTGAATCAATTTTGTGCAATTTCAAACATACAAAAAATGTGGTATTTTTATTGTATGAAAGTCCGAATCAAAACAAAACATGAACTTTGTAGCCTACTCTAAGAAAACTGGCATTTACAGACATGGATTATTGGGTGATAATCAGGAACACTGAAATTGCTCTTTGAGAGGTTCTTTCTGAAGCTTATTGCTTTGTGAAATTGCAGGGTGATGCACATGAAAAACAGTGGATGGACACATTGATGTGCTGTGGGTTCAGGACAAGCCAGACCCTATAATGGCACTTCAGTTGGTGGCTATTTCTGTCATGACAAATCTTGGAGTGTTTGGCATGGTAAGGGACATGACAAAGTTGATATGTTTGGTCTTGGCGGAATAAATCTGCTATGCCGCTGCTGCTGATGCAGAGCAAGAACGGGACTTGCTACTGCCAATACATCATGAGCGTTTACACTAAGAAAGCAATCCGGTCGAATGTGTTTTTTTGACTATCTGAAAGTTATTGAAAGTGAACAAGCTCAAAAACATTTTAGACCCCGTTTACACCTGTATTTAATGCCGTCACTTGTGATCTGATTGACCAAAACGCATCTTAAGCAGCTTAGAAAAAAAAAACTGCAAGCATTTTTGCAGAAGAACACTGTTTTGGCTGTGCCTCGACTCTGCTGACTGATGTGCGGATGATTATGACCCTTCGCAATAGAAAATGATTTACAATGACCTCTGTTAGAGAGCTATAGCCTATGGCAATTTATCTGTTTAATAAAATACCTTACAGTAATAAAAACGTTTCTTGTGCATAGCCCGTATTCAGAGTGAATCACAAAATGGTCTCCCACAATTTGCCAAAGAACCATTTTCATTAGTGATTTTTGAGTAAATTGGAGAAAAGCAAATTAGCCTAAAAAATACACCTAAAAAAATGCTTTTCAAGTTCTAACTCAATGCAGAAAAAGCTAATGTCCATATAATCTATCAACGACCCTCATACACAGTAGAAAAACTATTGCTATTGGTGGATCTATTGTGAGTAACAGGTTGTCCCGCCCTCGCGCCAATAAACATGTCATCAGAGAAAAGACTACAAGGGTACATTAATTAAAAAAAAACTCCAATACATTTATAATAAACACTGCAATATTCCACAAAACATAAGGAGTGTCCATTTTGATTTCAACCTGTCGGCTATCTACAAAACTCGCTGTAAAAACTTCACTACCCACTCACACTTTCGCGTCTGGCTTTATCCTGCGCGGCTTCCGTAGGGTGTCGTGGCGCTTGTTGAGTTGGAAGGGGAAAGTACAGCGGCTTTAAATAGCGAGATAAGCTAATATCTGTTACATTACTTTCAGACTGTGGTGAACTGGTGATCGTGTATATCATATCATAAAGATTTCCGGGCTATAATGAGGCGTGCAGGCTTGGGTAAGTATTTTTCTCTCTGGTGTTATGTTTGAAGCTCATGCTAAGCTAAGTCAGTCACAGTTAGCTACATTAAACCAACATTGTATGACCAAATCATGCTAAATATCACAGTTTCCAGATCTGGAGAACCACCTGCCTAAATAACGGTAAGTTACCAGACAAAACGGTGTCTGACCTGAGACAGACAATAATAGGCGAGTTTTCTCTGTATTAGACCAGTTGCTACATGGGTCAGGTTAACATAGAGATGTTTACATCAGAAAATGAATCGTGTTTGTTAGTGTTTCTGCGTGTATGACAACACATCCAAGCTTAACTTTAGATTCCTTCGATATTGTTTAAACAGTTTTATTGAAAGGAACCATCAAAACATAATCTAAAAGTCTCAAAGGGGCTCATTTTAACTGATAAATAAAACTGGGCAGCAATTAAATAAGATTTTTAAACAAAACAAATTGTTTCAAAGCAGCTTTACAGTGATAGGAATTATTTTGAATATCTTTTTTGTATCAATATTTCATTCATAACTAGTCCCTTACTTTTAGATGTTCAGTAGTTTCTGATGATTGTATATTTAAAGTGCACATCTATTTGATTTTGCAGTCAGCATGTCAAGGAACTGGAAGTTTTTCCCAGCCAGCCTCAATAAATGATAGCCCTGCCCATCTTAGACAAGTCAAATCAATTCATACATGGCAACGTTTGAAATAGTTTGCTGTGATTGGATATTGTATTTTAAAATACTGAGAAACACGTATCATCTAATGAATTTGTCCTGATTGTTACTTGTTCTTTAGGTGAGGGAGGCCCTCAAGGGAATTACGTAGCGAGTGGATACAGCGTGTACGAGGAGGAGAACGAACATCTACAGGAGGGACTGAAAGCTAAAGTAAACGCACTCAAACATGTGAGTGGGCTTGAGCATATTTCATTTTTATATTTATAAATATTTACAGCTTATATTAATATTTTAGATTAATATATAATATTTAAAATACTTCATATTTCAATACATCTAATGAAAAAAAAAATATATGTTTGTCTATTTACATCTATTTCAGCTATCGATTGACATTGGAAATGAAGTCAAGTACCAGAATAAAATATTGGGAGAAATGGTAAGCGATGGGAAATGATTATTGATAAAATCTAGTTTCTTCATCAAAACACTGATCTGAATGGCTTTGACATCTCGCGTTTGTTTCTCCTCAAGGACTCGGACTTCGACTCAACTGGAGGTCTGTTGGGATCCACCATGGGTAGACTGAAGCTCCTCGCCAGAGGGAGCCAATCCAAGGTGTTCTGCTACATGCTGCTGTTCGCCCTGTTTGTCTTCATTGTCCTGTACTGGGTGATCAAACTGAGGTGATCACAGGACCGATGAGATCCAGGACATTTCTTATGTGCCATGCTCATATGGGGGACGGGATCAGAATCCTCACAGTGACGACGAGGAGTGTTTGACTGCTTGCTTTCCATTGGACAAGAAACTGAACCATTGAGTGACAATGTGCAATATGAAAAATCTGTATAAATATAAAATATATCTGTCCCAACCCACTAAAATTAATGTCGTCTCAGTGCAGGGATAATGCTACTCGTTTAATACTGGTCATGAAAAAAGATGAACATGCATCTGTCTTTCTTTTATCCAATAATGACCTATCCTTTAATGATATTCTTTTAGGAGAACTTCAGTGCTATAAATGTGTGCCGACCTCTATATGGATTCTGATTAACTACTTTTAAGAGAGTGTGACATCACAGTAGTCCTTTTAATTGTATAGTCGGAAATTCAGGTTATGACAACTGGCCAGAAATAAAGCTGGATGGTGTAAACAATTTAGCACTTTTTACCATGCAAGTCTATACAACGTCTTTGAAAGAGTTGCCACAAAAATTTTGCTTATTGAATATAGTATTTAAAGGGCTGATCTTAAGACTGTGAAAACCATTCTGAGATATGTGAAGTTATGTGAAATTCAGTTTTGTATGATAATCATATATCAGAAACCACCCCAGAATTCTGTGTACTTCAGAAATGTCTTGCATTATTTTTTGAGGTATTTGCTCAAACCCTTCTGCTCTCTATGGTTAACATAATGCATGGTTTATTTGAGTTTTTCAGAGACTAATATGTAAATAAATGTCATTTTTGAGATAATTATTACATAAACATTTGTCAAAAGCTTGAGTCCCGTTTTCATGTAATACCATTTGTGGTTCTTAAGAATTATGAAAACTTTTATTATTTCTTTTCATGCATATTAAAAAACTAAGTCATATACAACTATAATTAGAATTTACATATACATACAATCTTGTCAGGTTTTCATCAGCCAAGTCTTCATTAAGGCAACAATATCTGACTGCAAGTTACAAATCATCGTAAAGTTGATGTAACTGCTACTATAACTTAATTAACTAATCCATTTACATCTAGTTTACATTTACAGTTAGATTCTCAAGTTCATTGTAAGTGCACTATTTTTCACATTGAATTCATATCAGTGATGTCATTTCCTGGGCAGAGTGTCCATGTACTTGCATATGATTGACAGCATCACCTCATCAGCTCCTGCACCAATAGACATTAATCTGGAGTCCCTGTTAAGACAAAAAAAAAAAACAGATTTGATTTATTTGTAACCTGACATGAGGTTTAAGCTTACCGATATTTTACACTTTTAACAATCAGTTGGACATTCAAATTCACTGTATTGACAGTTCTTTCCACACACTCAAAAGCATATTATGCATTCACATGTATCACAAGCACCCTTATTCAAGAGTGAATACATGCAATCCAAACCTGTTGCTTTTAAATGTCACTAGATGTCACTGCAGCTCTGAGAGCACATGCATGTTCACCTTAGTTCAGATGAGAGAGACTGACCTGAAGAACCTGCTGACCAGGACACCACTGGTAAAGCCCATGCCACCCCAGTACTGGAGGCAGCTGTCACCGACCTCTCGGGCCAGTCGTCCGGCCTTCAGCTTGGCCATCGACGCCAACTTTGTCACGTCGTTTCCCTTGATGTACAGAGCTAATGAAAGTGCACAGAAAACATCATATCAATTCTAAAGGTATTCTTTTCAGGTGCATATGCTGAGATTCAGCTGCATTTTTTTAATTTCACAACACGAGGAAGGAAAAACATCGCGATTTTGTGATTCAAATAGAAATCACGATTCTCCTACAATCTGAATAGACATCGAAACAAAAACATGATTTACAAGAGGTTCTGACATAATGTTAATTGTTGGAGTCTTTAAAAAAATATTTAATTAAACATTTTTATTTATCGTTTTGAATGAATGATTCAATGACTCACTCAAAGACTTCACTTGTTTCATTACTGGATGAATCAGCGTTTTTTTAACGAATCTCTTAAATGAATGATTCAACAACATACATTTTTTTAGCAGTCACTTGTCGCCACCTACTGGTGTAATGATGTAATCAATACAATCTTTATTTGAAGCATTAAAGGGTTAGTTCACCCAAAAATGAAAATTCTGTCAGTAATTACTCACCCTCATGTTGTTCCAACCCCGTAAGACTTTCGTTCATCTTCGGAACACAAATCAAGATATTTTTGATTAAATCTGAGAGCTGGATCACTCCTCCATAGGCTACTTAAGGGGTCGAAACTGGCCGGCCCAAAAGTTATAAAAGACATCGTTAAAATAGTCCGAGTGACTACAGTGGCTCCAGCTTAAGTTTATCAAGCGGCGAGAATACTTTTTGTGCGCAAAAAAACAAACAAAAATAACAACTTTATTCAACTACTCATTTCCTTCCCTGTGGGCCTTGAGATTTCACGTAGTGAAACTGCGCAAAGCTTCTGTGTTGTACGTCGAAAGATGAACGAAAGTCTTACGGGGTTGGAACAACATGAGGGTGAGTAATTACTGACAGAATTTTCATTTTTCGGTGAACTAACCCTTTAAGTAACTTTCAAAAGGGGATTTTACTCTATTTTGATCGCTACCGTAGACATCAGTGTTCATATCCGAACTATAAACTTTCATCCCTGTGCTAATGTGATCATTTGAATTACTGTAATTATATCAAGTATAATGATACGGTGTATAAGAAAAGATGTCTGTGGAGCCATTTCATACTTATACATGATAACTGCTCTCTCTGGGGCAGCGCCAACGCAGATTTGAATGTTCGCTGTGATCGTACTTGTCAAAGGATTTTAACGTGCAGCTCTAGTTCACACCATTTCATTCCATTATTCATTTGGAAATGGTGGCCCTGTAGACCTACCAGACACAAACCCATGAAATTGCAAAGCTGCCTTGGCCAATCATTCTAAAATGATTTCAGAAACAGTCTGGACTCGCCTGTGGCGCGATGCAAAAGGGAGCGCAACAGCTCGATTTCTGTCTGCAGCTCAGCCAGCCTGAAGTGAACGACCTGGTGGTACAGAACCGGCTGCTTGAAGATCTTCCTCTGTCTCGTGTAGTTAATGGTCTCTTGGACAACTTTCTCCATCATCGTCAGGACTTGAAAAGCAAGAAATACGACACAATCAGGTCTAACATACCAAAGGGAAATATTCCAATGTGTTTTTTCAACAAATAATATGATGGAGGGAATAGTTGTAGACAACATCTCGACAGGAAGTAGGCAGCAATGTTAGCTGATGATGTCAAAAGATCCCCCAGAAGATTTAAAACAAAGTTTGACTCATCTGTAAACACATTTGGGCCTGAGAAGAGAGTGATCTGGATTTATTGTACACACACAAGCACCGCTGACATTAACACACGGACGTCATGCCCGTGCCAATCCCAACAGTGAAGAGCAATGTTTGACGTGCAGTGGGATGTGTGGGAGTCAGAAAGGATTGCTTACTATTGGCCGTCCCCCAGAGCCGCTCCTCCTGGAATTGTAGCATCTGGTAAGTGAAGCCCATTCCCTCCTGCCCTATGATATTTTTGCAGGGCACGCGCACGTCATCGAAAAACACTTCCGCTGTGTCCGATGACAACATGCCCATTTTACCGATCTTACGTGCGATTTGAACGCCTGCGGATGTATGGTAAAACATTAGCATGTTTACTTTGGCAGACAAACGACTCTTTTCCATACAATTTGTGCTTTTGCCTCCAGTCTTACCAGGCAGATTCATGGGTAAGCAGATTAGGGATTTGTTCTTGTGAGAGGGGTCATCGCTGGTGTTGGCCAGGAGGCACATCCAGTCTGCTTGTGTGCCATTAGTAGTCCACATCTTTCCACCGTTAATGACAAACTCGTCTCCTTTGCGCACAGCTTTAGTCTTGATGCCTGGAGGAGATAGTGTTTATAGACTCTTTAGATCAGTGGTTCTCGACCGGGAGGCCGGGGCCTACAAGGGGGCCTCATTAAAGTTCCAAGGGGGCCAAAGGGTGACTTAAAATGATTTAAATGAATGATACTAATATTTACCAATTTCCAATAATATTAATCTAACGTTATTCATAATATATTAAACACTCTAACTTACTTAAACATCATACAAATGCTAAAAAAAAACAAAGTATAGTTTTTATTGAAACTTCTTGAAGTTATTTTAATATTTATATACTGTTATACTATTTTTAGTGTTTTGAATTAGGTCTTATTTTTATATATTTTTGTTTTCATTTTAATTTTAGTTCAAGTTTCTTTCATATTTTTATATAGCATTGGTTTATTTCTATTTCAGTTTTAGTAATTTTAGTACTTCAACTTGTTTATTTTAGTTAGTTGCGAAGGCAACATTTATATGAAGTTAAATTTTATCATCTAATATTTATATTCAATTTTAGTTCACTTTTATTTCAATTACCAAAAACAAATTCTTGAACAGTTATTTTAGTGTCATTTATGTACTATTTTTTGTATTTTGAATTAGCTTTTATTTTATGTTTTCAGTTTTAATTTTAATTTCAGTTTGTTTTAGTAATATTGTATTAGTTTTTTAAATATATTTTAAAATTTAAATTTAATTAATTTTTATTTCAGTTTTTAGCTTAGTCATTTTAGTACTTCAACTTATTTATTTTAGTTAGTTACTTTTCTAAAGCTTAAGTTTTACATCTTATATTTATATACAATTTAATTTCACTTTCATTTCAATTACCGAAAACAATAGCTTTAATAGCTTTAGTTTTAGTTATTACACTGCTATGTGGAATACTTGATTCTGATTGGTCAATAGCGTCATCCAGCGGTATGTTCTTCCCAGATAATAACAACCGCTGAAAACAGATTACGCAGGCTCATCCGGGTTACTGAAGTCAGCAGCGCTATACGCTTGCTAGGACTTCGTGAAAGTTTTGCATTTGGTGAGCTAATAGAATTTAAAACTCAGTCAAATCAATATTTTGTATACAGTTATTTAATTATGCCATCCAGTATCATAACTCTCTCGTTTCACACAAACGCAGCTGCTGCCATTTTGTGACTATTGTTTTGTACACTGTTGGATTATACGATACAAACTGGTACGATTTTAAAACAGTTTAATCTGAAATCAATATTTCTTGTCTCAATAATTATTTATGTGGCAAAATGCTGTGTAATAAGTGGTATGACTGTAAACCGTATCTCTTGAATGTCCGTCTAGTCTCCGCTTCGCGTCGGAGTCCTCATCACCCTGTCGGCCGTGTCGGGGGGTTATTTTGAGAGAACAACCGGCTGGATGTACATTATCCCTTACTTAACAATAACAACACTGGAATCACAAAATGAATTGAATTGTATCACCACTCCCTGTTTCTGTTAATAAAAAAGTTGAAATCAAGCAGCTTTGTCATAATTACATGCAGAAATATCATACAGCAAATATTTTAGCTAATATGTGACCCTGGACCACAAAACCAGTCACATGGGTCAATTTTTTCAATTTATCTAACATTGAGAAAGAAAAAAAACATTGAGAAAATCACCTTTAAAGTTGTCCATTTATGTTCCCGATTGTGCTGCATTCACTCACAAAAATAAATGTTTTATATATTTACGGTTGGAAATATACAAAATATCTTCATGGAACATGATCTTTCCTTAATATCCTAATGATTTTTTGCATAAAAGAAAAATCAATAATTTTGACCCATACAATGAATGTATTGTTGGCTATTGCCACAAAAAATATACTTGTGCGACTCGTGACTGGTTTTGTGATCCAGGGTCACATATATGGGGCTTTTGAATTTTATGTTGGACAATAGATCATACTTGGCTTAAAATGTGAAATAAAGTAATACAGAACTCTCATTTCACCATAAACAAGTTTAGATTTCTTTGCAACTCATTATTAATTTGTGACTAGTGCCGGCTTTACTTCAAGTACAAAATTGAATACATTTATGAAAAATAGTTCAGCATACCCCTGTGTGGTGATATTCCCATGTAGACTAGTCTTTTAATCTCCCTGGCCTGAAATGCTTTGCTATCTTCATCTGATGAAGTAATTAATTTTAGATTTGCGTCTGGTGTGTGTTTACATCTTGTTTAAAACACCCCCTTGGCAATATAAAGAACAGGTCTTTCTTGTTTGGTACATTATCTCCAGCAAATTACTTACTTGCTACATCAGAGCCGGCCCCTGTTTCGCTCACCCCGAGGCAGGCCACTATGTCTCCCATTATGCTGGGCAGCAAAAACTCTCTCTTGAGCTCTGCAGAACCAAACCTACAACGGCACAGAAGTCACAGTCACATCCTCACCCTCACAGGTATCAGTGTCATAGCAGCTGTGATTTAAAGCTCGTGAGGAGAGATTTACATTTTACTAGAAGCAAATGCAATTTCAGAAGCTGTTCCCTGTAGGCAGAATCACAAAGGGCACTAATCAAAATCCCTGATTTTCAGAAACCAAATAGCCAAAGTGGATATGCACAGAAAAATAAGTGTTTCCAGAGAGTGAGCACAGTGCAGTAATATCCCCTGAGTGACAGTGTACAACCGGCTGCAGTCAGAATATGGCAAATACTAATAGGAGAAAAAGGAAATATCCTGATAATTACAGTATTTATTTATAATAAATGATAGGTGGTTTAAATTGTTATGAGAGTCTGTCAACACATAAGATCATTTGCTTAATCAGTACTTTTTGTCTTTTTTCACAGTAAAAATATAGAATATCAACAATTTACTTGAGAAGTAAAACTGCATAATATAATTTGTCATCATAGAATATATCTTAAATTAAGTTAAAACACCATTATTCCACAAACCTAAAGTCGACATGAAACTTAAGTTGTAATAGTCTTTTCTTCTCCTAGTGTGACGCATATCTGAGTGAAGAGGCTTCTCGAAAAAGATACAATTATTTTGTCTATGGAGAATTGATTGAATGGTTGTGGTTTGCTATTGGTCGATGTCATGTGAGTGATAGGTTGCCCCGCCCTCGCGCCAGTAAACACATCATCAGAAAAATTATGAACAACGCAATATATATAAAAAGAAAATACAATTACGATTATATTATGTACAAAACGTAGAGAATTAACTGAAAAATCAACGTCCCTTTTTAACCAGCCATCCAATCACAACGGAGGAGGGGCGGGACTATACACCAAACCCACCAACCATCACATCCTGCTTGTACAACGATACCAAATTACAACAGACACTCTGTATCTGCCAAAATGCAAACCCTCCTCCTGGTCAGCATCGACTTAAGCTGGAACTCACCTGTCCGTCATCAAACGCATCAAGGGCATTTATCATTAGATTTTGTGTCTTTGCCCTGGACAGACAACTTCTTGTGGCAGTTTTAGGCTGTCTAAAATTGCCCCCTATATCCTCATTCACAACTACCTACATTAGTCCACTAATATAGGGAGTGAATGAAAATGAGTGTGTGAATTCAGACACTGAGTGCGCCGGAAGGGCTGTCGCTTTTGCATAGTTTGTGCTTGCTGTTTAATAATAATTTGAAACTTAGCAAGCTGGCAGCTCCAGTAGTAAAGAAAAGATTTATCTTGAACTCTGTCATGGAAACTAGCAAAATGACACAATTGAATGATCAATTAGGAAGTAATTTATACCTGAATGATATAACGCTGTAGCCACATTGGACCAGCGGTTTGGAAAATGGATGGATGGATGATTCAGCTGCGGGCGCCATCTTCTAGTCAGACAAGGGATTTCCTTCGGCGCGCAACTCAGTGCATTATGGGTAATATGGGGTTGTACACTCGTTATTGCGGTGCAATATTAAACGAGTGCACTCGATAACATCCACTATGGTTTCGGACACTAGTACAAATGGCTGTCCCCTCAAATAGTGCCCTATTTAAGGATACAGGGGGCGATTCCGAACACAGTCTTAAATTTGTTCTGGAGACTGAACCTGCGCTCTGTAGCCACACTGAGCGCACTCGCCACCAACTGGACAGGGGTGGGAATTACAGTTACAAGCTTAAATAGATCACCCTCAGTGTAATCTCTCAAAATGACAGATAGCCTTCAGATTTTTCTGTCACTGCTAAAAAAAAATCAGTCAATGACGGAAAATATTTGTTTAACGCAACCTCTGATTCTGTGTGGTATTACATTCTGAGCACAGCCACTGTTTGAGGTGTACTTACTGAAACGATAACAATATTTCAGATTTAGAAATCACCTCGCCAGTGCAGGTGTAGCCATGTCACTCTGAACACCAATGGCCATGGGAATCCCTCCACAGTTGATGTTCCCCAGTTCTTCAGCCACAGCCAAACTGTAGCTGAAGTCCAATCCCAGACCGCCATACTCTGCAAACAATGAAAACAACCAGTGAATACCAAGAGAGCAGATGCTTCATCTCTTCAGTTTTTTTTGTTATTAAGCTTGTAAACATTGTAAATACCGTAAATGCTTTAGAAAAATTTTGCCCAATTTCCTGAACATTTTGACCACAAAGCAAGTGAAATTTAGAGTGTTTCTATCAGGAATCTTTGTTCTTGGGCCTCAATAAGCTAAACTTGCTTACTTTAGTACTTAAGACAAATATGCATCATGCAAAAGTCCTCTACATATTTATGCCATGCAGTAATCTAAAACTTGACATGCCCTTTTCACACCCCTGCGGTCCATTTCATCATAACATATTACAATGTCTTGGGCAAATGGCGTGTATGCAATTACATGTGATCGTAATAACAGCATTACTGTTTCCCACGATACTTTCCTTGTCATGCATTTATTCATGTCATTTCATGTTCCATTTCATTTAGCATTTTCCTTCAGGAAACAAATATTACGACATTAAGGAAATGATTGTAATCTGTGCAGGCAATAAGGGCAACAATAATGTTGAAAAGCAAGTCCTTTAGTGATTGTGGTGAACTCTACACTCATTTACCCCAGTACTACAGGACGCTGTATTCTGTCATCAGGTACCGCGATGGTTGTGGACAACATTTGTTGTGGCAAAATAAGGAAAAGTGAAGCGAGAGAGCAAAGGAAACAGATACAGCTGCACAGGAACAGTCGTAGTCAAATAATTCAATATCCAAACAGACAATCTGTTAGTGTTCAGTACCTAGTTAGATGCATCCGAAAGGAGGGTTTGTTTATCCTGACCACAAACTAGCTTAACTAACCTAAAAGGGGACTTTTGTTTTGGGGGTCTACTAGAATAGGCTAGAAAAAACACATAATTTTTCATATATTTGTCATTGTTGCAGCTCCTCTCTTCCCAGTCTGTCAGTAACGCTCTGTTTAGTTCCTGTCTCTATGAAGCCCCTCCTTCTGAAAAGCAAAATGTGCTCTGATTGGTCGGCTAGATCAGTGTGTTGTGATTCGAGCGTGTTTTGTAAATGACACACCCTTTACCATAGCAGCGAGTTTCAACGCAATACTAACTAGCTAACTCAACCAGGCCTCGACCCTTTATTTTCCGTGGTAATTTTGATGTAATAGCTTACACACAGCAGAGGGAGACTTTATTTGAATCGTTGAGCTACATTTACAAAAAAACAACAAGTAAACAGTCAGTAATAAAAAAAACAATTTGCAAATGATAGCACAAATAAATACTATAGAAACAAAATACTATAATACTATAGTGACAAAATAAATAAAAACGGCTTTAAGTTTTTCAGGTGGGTCTAACAGTAGTATTCAGGTAAGAAACACTACAGAAATTAAATAAAGTAATCAAATGTAAAAAATTAAACAGATTAATGCTTACAATTAAAGTTATAAAAGTTATTTACTAAAGAGCAGTGAGTCGTTTTCTCTTTGTCTTTTGTTCTTTGATTAACATGACAGAAAGCAGCAGGTTTATCAGGCTGCTGTCACTTTAAGAGCTTATGCACAGATCCAATATACTTTTACACAACATGCGATTTATTTTTCAACTATTTACGTTCCAAAACTGACTGTATTTACCAGAATATTCGGCAAATCTGGCATTTTGACAATTTTGAAGTCAATTTGGTACTCGCAAGCTGTTTGAGAGGCGGCTTTATAAGAGCACTTTTGGTGTGAGCGCGATACCTGCGGGAATGACTAAAATTATGTGCAATACACACACTATTCAATCGTAGCGAATGAGACGAGTGAGTGAGAGGAGGCGGGTGTGTTTTAATTCACTTTTGAAAAGAAGTGAGAATGCGCAATTTGGTATCGGCGATTCAGAAAAGGAGTATTGGAACCGTTTCAGATATTTCAGTATCAATACATATCGATATTTTTGACAACACTAATATAGAAAATAACTCTTTTTGCAGTGACTTTGTACTTCTAAACTTTTTAGAGTTTTTTTATTCTCAAACAGCAACATTACACACTAAAGAAAGCTGAAAATGTAAAAAAAAGAAGCAAATATTGTATAATGGTCTTAAATGGGTTTGTATAGTATAAGATAATAGTATATAAAGTTGGAACAAAAAGGGAAAAATGATGTCATATGCCATCAAGCAGGTCTAATCTTTACGAAGGTTAGATATTGGAAGCTGGTCAACACTTCTGTTTACTGCATACATGTAAAAACAGTGGAGAGTGATTCTCCTGTTTGGTGGGGTAACCTCGCACAGTACATTTAATCACCGCATAGATGTGAAATGAGAAGTATTTCATGAGACACAAGAGGCCTTGCACCCCCACATATTTTGGGACTTGAGTAAATGTTAGAAGACTGGATGGCTTGGATAAGAAAGTTTTAGTGCCTTATCTGAGGTTGCTAGGGTTGGAAAAACAGACAATCTGGATTTACGCCAGTGTTTTGTAAGATGGAGTTGTTTTAGCCAGGTTGTGAAAGCTGTGATTACATGAGGAAGACGGGTGTTAGGGGAACCAGCAAAACTCTAAAACGACGACTCAAAATACCTTCCATCATGCTAAATAATCGAAATGCTAACCTGTAAGATCATGTAGCATTGTGCACATGCATTAGTATAGGGCTCATGATGGTTATACATATGGGAGACTGGGGCTAGTTTTTTTACAAAGGCAATTTCTTAGTAACTGTAAGGTTGAGTCAAAAGTTCATGACACAAATGTGCTTTCTAACACTAAATTCAAAAATACTTTTGTTGTGAATTATGACCTCCAAAATAAAATAGCAATACCATCATATTTTTGCTGTCGCTGTTAAGTAAATAAGTGAACACAATAAAACCACACTGAAATATTTAACATACTGTGTGTATATATATATTCAGTATTTAGTACTCAGTATAAAGTCTTAAATTTACATTTGAGTAGCAAAATGCCTTAAGATATTAAATCTTCTTTACTGAAAAAATGAACAATATTATGCAAGTTTAAAACAAGAAAAATATCTGTCAGTGAGAGAAAAAAAAGGATCTTGTTTTCCCTTTTAATTTAGTTCATTTTTCTGACCCCACTGACAGGTATTTTTTCTTGTTTTACGCATAAACACTTAATTTTGATGATTTTTTCAGAAAACAAGAAAAAATCATTTTGCTTCAAGTAAACGTCTTAATTAATTTAAGAATTTTTTTATATTTGAAATGGAAAACGAGACTTCAAGTATTGAATAAGAATTTAGTTTTTTGCAGTGCAATATAATGGTTAATATTTTAAATGGTTTGACGCATTACCTTTTACATTGTTGCTGTTTCATGAATTGTGTTTCATAATTGTTTTACTGTTTAAATTTGCCGCAAAATTTATAATAGGCAGATTAAAGGCAGGTTACATTGTGACAACTTACCTCAAACAATGTGACAACAAGCCCTGCTCGCATGTACTGTATGTTCATTGAACTGTATCCCTTTTCCTGTGCAATAACCATGAAAATGTTTTTGTAGGCAAGATTTTCAAATATGTGTCTGTACAGAAATTGACTTTCAGAAAATAAACCTAGCCTGAGAAATATTCATCCAGTTTCCCTTACATCTTGATATCATGCAGAAAATTATAACCTTTCACTAAAAATGTTCTGCTTCCTATAAACGAGAAAATGCTAAATTTGTAGTCACTGATGATGGTGGATTCTGATTATAGAAATAGCTACAAAACCGCCCCAAATCTCAACAGGGAGCGCGCAGGAAAAGCTCCAGTTTAGCCTACAGCAGTCAAGTCACAATTCACCTGAACAGATTTTACATAATTGTTCAGAGATTTGCTGGTGTATCTGTGCTCCACATATCAAAATGAGGTGAGGCAACGCTACGAGTACTAATCCTCGGTCTAAGAAGATGCTGTAAATCCAGCCGGCTAATGCAGAAGTGTCACAGTGTCAGCACTTCTTAATGCAAGTGCTGTTCTCCTCTGACCGACAGATTTATGAAGCCGGATTTAAGTTTCCCCCGAGCCTCCTCCAGCCATCCAGTAATTATACAGCATTCTATTCTTAGTTGCTAAAACTTTATATATATATATATATCATATGAAAAAAAAAGATAAATTATGAGGATATTATTTGCATGTTATTTAAAGGGATACTCCACTTTTTTTGGAAATAGGCTCATTTTACAACTCCCCCAGAGTTAAACTGTTGAGTTTTACCGTTTTTGAATCCATTCAGCCGATCTCCGGTTCTGGCGGTACCACTTTTAGCATAGCTTAGCATACATCATTGAAGTGGACAAGACCATTAGCATTTCTCAAAAAAAATGACCAAAGCTCAGATCATTTTTCCTATTTAAAACTTGACTCTTCTGTAGTTACATCATGCACTAAGACCGACGGAAAATGTAAAGTTGCGATTTTCTTGGCTGATATGGCTAGGAACTATACTCTCATTCCTGCGTAATAATCAAGAAACTTCACTGCCGTACCATGAGAGCAGCAGGCGTAATATGACGCAGCGCCTGAAAATAGTTCCGTTGTGTTGAAGGAAGGTGGCCTATTTTCAGGCGCTGTGTCATATCATTACTACACGATGTAACTACAGAAGAGTCAAGTTTTAAATAGGAAAAATATCGAAACTCTTTGGTCATTTTTTTATTTAGAAATGCTAACGGTCTTGTCCACTTCAATGATGTATGCTAAGCTATGCTAAAAGTGGTACCGCCAGAACCGGAGATCGGCTGAATGGATTCAAAAACGGTAAAACTCAACAGTTTAACTCTGGGGGAGTTGTAAAATGAGCCTATTTCCAAAAAAAGTGGAGTATCCCTTTAAGAATGAGACTCAACAGTCATTGATTGTTTGAATAAGTTCAATATAATAACAGAGAATCTGTTTTACATGAACTGTATGACTTTTGGTTCTCCTATCATTCTTCTCACGTATTGGGAGTCTATAGCAACCCTTTGAACTGCATGGCAAAAAGTTGTGCACTGACATATTGATACGCGTGATAATACCACAAATCGGGTTTGTGTTTTCCATTGTTCTCGTAATTGCTTCTTGCAGCAATGTTGTTATTTTCTCATGAATCCATCTGCACTCACATAAAAAACCTAAGACTGTTTAAGGGCACTCTACAATCTTCTTTTTCCTCTACGTTTCTCAAAAAGGATACTTAGAACTGTAATTCTGCCATTACCAAAGACAAAATGATCCAGTTTGTACTTAAAATGCATATTTTCATTTTTACAAATGTCTTTTTCAACCAGCTGCTGTCAAGGTGATACTTCAAGAAGAATCAAATTGTCATTTATCTTGTGGAATAGAAAAGCTCATAGTACAATGAAAACATACTGCATAAACGGCTTGTTTTGAAATGTTTGATGTAAAAAAAATATGAAACATGATATGACCACCCAAACTGACAGCATTTTTAAACCTTTTTGACTCTAAGGCCCCAAACCCTTTTTGAGGGTCACTTGTGTGCTTGATTAAGGTACATCTGAAGTAGCAAACGTCTGCTTACCCACAGGTTTGTTGACTCCCAGAAATCCTGCACTTCCCAGGATTTTGAAGATCTTATGAGCAGGAAACTGCCCTTCTTCCTCCCATTTGTCAACATATGGATTGATCTCTTGATCAATGATCTGTAACACATTCAAACATAGATATATACTTAAACTGAGAACTGTAACTAAATTTGAACATGACTATGATCTGATTTATTTACAAGACAATCGTGTATTACAGGAACACTTTGTATACAATTAAACACTTCATTATTCCAGTGAAGCAGGATATCACTCACTCACTTCTACTCATCACTTCCAGCCCTCTATATAAAAGTGGCAAAAGGCCAAAAATTAAAAAAAGTTTTTAAGTTCCTTCAAAGTATAATAGCCAGACAATAGGTCTAATAAGCTAACTTCCTTCTGAGTCAATTCAAGATGTCTGGTTTTGTAATAACAGAACCGTTGTGAAATATAGTGAGCATCTGCAGCAATATGTAGATTTGAGCCATACAGGCACTGCCAAAACAAACATTCCTGACAGAAGAGTGACATACATAATCACTTTCAAGTTTAGCCCTATCAACATCTGGATTTCTTGTTCAAACATAAACTGAACATGCTTTTAAAAAAGACACCATATCACCAAATCTGATCACCACTTTCGATATAATTTGTACCAAATGTGCTATTTTTTTTTTTTTTACAATACACACGGTTTGGGGCGAGTAAAAGTTTTTTTATTTATTATTAATATTTTATTCAGGAAGTATGCATTCAATTGATAAAAATGACAGTAAAGATATTTATAATTTATAATTTTACAAAAAAATGCACGTTATTCCTCTGAACTTTTTTTTATTTTATTATTATTTATATTTTATTCAGGAAGTATGCATTCAATTGATAAAAATGACAGTAAAGATATTTATAATTTTACAAAAAAAATGCACGTTGTTCCTCTGAACTTTGTATTCAACAAAAAAATAAAAAATTATTGAAATAAAAAATCCTGAAAAAAATGTATCGCAGTTTTCACTAAAGTATTAAGCAGCACAACTGTTTTCAACATTAGTTTCAAAGGAGAGCAAGGCAATTCATTAAAATCTACTAACACAATTCAAGAAGAAAAGGAACTGAATTATTTTCCAAATAATGCATTATTGTGAACAATAGCTTTTTTTCCTACGTTAATAATAATAAGAAATGTTTCTTGAGCAAATCAGCATATTAGGATAATTTCTGAAGGATCATGTGAGACTGAAGACTTGAGTAATGATGCTGAAAATGCAGCTTTTTAAAAAAAATTTTTTACTTATGTGTAAATATTAGAGTTTTGCTGTCTTTTTGATCAAATAAATGGTGAGCATAAGAGACTTCTTTCAGAAACATAAAAAAATGTACTGAACCCGAACCTTTGAACTGCAATGTATACTTCATAAATCATGCACAATTTTGTTGGCAATATTTTTTGCATTGTTCTGGCTTTAATTTATTTGAACTAATAATAAACACAATATTCCATAACTTTTTGCTTTTATATTCTTTTCGAGTTTTGAATCCCCGAAAAAAAAGAGTCCTCCTTGCTTACTAATTTTAATGTCATTAATAAAACTATAAGAGTATCATCTTTCTTTATGGCCCAAAGTAAAAGGTAATTTAGTGGAATGTCCAGGCGCCGCTTTTCTATACAACAAACTGACATATCATCTAGGTTGCAAACAACATAAGGGTGAGTATTTTTGTAACTTTTAAGTTATAAAGCAAAAGTCTTTAAAATAAATGCAATTAAAAGTCACCAGACCTTGTAATGCTCATTGTCTGAACTGTTTTAGTGTCTGATCACAAGAACACTAAATGTTGTAATGGGGAGTCAAAGGAAAGCAAGGCAATTCATTCAAATCTACTTACACAAATGAAGCAGAAAAGGAACTGAATTAATTGACCAATTATGCATTATGTGTACAATAAAACAAAATTGATTCAAGCATGATGAACCAGTAATTTTAATTCAATTAAGGCTATAAACTTTTTCAGCGGTGGTAATGACTCCTCTTCAGCTAATATGTCATGCTTATGTTTAATGGGTACAGACTGAGCTTTCAGTATGAGCTGTGAAAAGTTAAAGAAAATAAAAAATACTGCAGAGGGATGAGCACCACATTTCCCCAAAAACATGCAGACATGCTGCTTCACTGGCCAACAAAAACGTCCTGCCTCAAGAGCAGTGTGAACAGAACAAACAGCATTTAATAACGAAAGGAAGCCAGGGGTCAACAACACGATAACAATGTCAGAATGAACTAGTTTCTGACTTTCTTCAGCAGAAAGAATCTGCGGGGAACAACTGGCATAGAACATATAACGGAAGTGTCTTATTTAGTGTTAGATTTACTCGAAACCCAGAGGACTGTGACTGGATAATACGGTCAGAAAGGAAGGGTGGTCCACCCTGTCCGAACCTACAGTACAAGGTTCCCTATTCTTAATAAAGGTTGGTGATACATTCCACAATACTCTTGTCGGTTTAAGAGCTGAGAATTGTTTGGTGGGGTCCAAAACTCTGGCTTACGGTTTGTCAACACTTTATGCACCCAGAAGACCATTGAACTAAACTGAATAACACAATAGGTGATGTTTCCTGGAAGTGCTAACCCTAATTGGTGCATTAAACATTTTGATTTAAAAAAAGAAAAGAACTTATACTCCCATCATTTCAATATGAACATAGCCTAACTGGCATGCCTTACGCATTACGTAAGATACTGTGAAAAATGTAACCTTGAGTCATGAGATGACCTTGAGAAGGAATGCATTTTATTGTAAAATACATGAGTAAAGGCTGAAAAGCAAATATTAAGCCCTATTGAATCTGACACCAATCTTTCCTTCCATTTAGATGCATCAGGTCTATAAATATTACATGCTTCGTTCTAAGTCAAGGACTTTTCTAACTAGTTTTTAGTATTTCGCTGTCTCTGGTGATTTCTTTTAATAAACACCATCCCTGAGCTTCACGCTATACAGCATTGTTCTTCTCATTATCCGCTGCTTTTTCTGTTTATATCCTTTCTCATACCAGTCTATTCCCATACACTTAAAGACACTGGGAATTTGAGAAAGCAACTTCCTGGCCAAGCCCTGTAAGTAACCCTCCAGTCTAGCCAGTTGAAGTTATAATTAAACTATAATTACAGTGACTTTCACTCATTTAAATCTTATTCATTCAAATTCAGTTTCAACTTAAAATATTTATCACATGCCTTAGAGATGGTAATGACGTGTAACGGAAATGACTTTGTTTTACTTTTTGGAGAAAAGCCTTGAACTTGCTAAAACAAAAGATTAGCTATTATTAAAATTGACTTTAAAAAGAAAACTTCTGAAATAAAATGTATAAAAAAGAGACTGGTTTTGTAATAAATCCTCATCAACCTCTCTCTTTGGAGGTGTTAGATATTGCAAACGTTTGTTCATTTGTGTGCTTTTGGGTATTGATGAATAGCCTATTTCTCCCAGATCTTTAAAATGAATTGATCTTCAAAATGTCACTCAGGTGCCCTGATAGAGATATTTCTTTATTCTAATTCCTATCCTAATCAGAGAAAAACTTTTTGGGAAAAGAAAAAGGATTGTTTGTTGCTTGGTGTGATGGAAATGACTGCAGAACAGGAGACAGCTGTCTTATAAATGACAAATAATAAGTCAATGTTTTTTACTTGATGTTGAATTACTTTACTTGAATTACTAAAATGCAATGTAAATAATCTGTTTTTTAAAAAGTGTGTATATATTTGGTATAGAAGGGAAGTTTATTTTTAATTAGCCTATTCCGGACATGACAGCAGGCTGTAACTTACAATCAACTTTAGCGTCACGTGACAATCCTGGAAGCATCAAAACAAAGCGTCTAATCTTGACATTTCATCTGTTATTCTAGAAAATTAATCTTTATAAAAAAAAAAAACCCCTTCCTAAAATCCTTAAATTATGTCTTGTATTAACAGCAAATCCCTAAGTAATTCATATAACCCGAAACAGATGCAACTAGCTGTCCAAGCTAGCTACAAAGTAAGTGACCTCTTACCTACATTCACTTGCTGAAAAAGATCTACATTAACATGAGTGTGATATTCAGGTAGCAAGAAACTTAATCATCATTCATCTCTACAGAGAATTATACATTTGTTATGGATACAAAATAGCACGCTGTCATATCTACCTTTCTCAAAGATGACTTTAATGCAAAATGTTCCTCTGTGTAGAGAACATGGTCGATATTCTCGGTAGAAAGAGATGCTTTCGGATTGGAGGACGATTTTTCTGAGAAGTGCCGATTGTTGCAGACAACAGTTTTGGGTAAATTACGATTCACAGCTAAACTGAATCTCAAGACCTTAGCGCGCAGTGCCATTCTTACAAACCACACAAAAGTGTTGACATGCGCATGCGCATTGAACCTCGCGTAGAAGTCGAAGTCTAATGTAGAGTATTTCAGCCTACTGTCTGCTGGCAGCACTTTACCAAGATAACTAACTACAGTTATAGTTAACTAGGCTATAGTAGTATAGTTATGTAGTAAAACTGTGATAAATGGGTATTAGCTAAATGTAAGAATAGGCCTAATTCTGAAACAATGTTTGCAGAAGATCCATACTGAATGGTAGGCTATTATACCATTAGCTATATAATACTGTTTGTTATTATGGTATTTTGTTAGTTACCTCTATGATTACCATAGTACATTTTGGTTTACACTTTATTTCGATAGTCCACATCACATTAGACATTCTCCTAACTATGAATTCAGGTTGATTTGGATAAATTTTTTACCTGTAATTTCAATGGCAAAAGTGTCTCAATCAACCTAAATTCACCCCAAGTAAGCGGCTATATGTCAACTAAATCTCATTAGAGTATTAATAGACTGTTATGTTAGGGTTAGGATTAATTGAATAACCTAAATTGACGTGTACTGTAGTTAGAAAGTTACTTACAGTCAGAATGTCTGTTGGGGAGCCTCAAAATAAAGTGTTAGCAAATATTAAGCAGACAGTCTGCTAATACTCTAATGACTGCTAGTGGCAAAGTTACTTAGTTAGTAGAATGTCTAAAGTTGACTATCGAAATTACCACATTTTGTAATTAACAAGTGTGGCCTTTCTTCTGCATTATTATGGCAAAGATTTGATGTAACCTTTTCTGTAAATAAATACTGTTTGCTTTATAATACTGTACACTTTAAACCAAACTCATAATGGCTCTTGGTGATGTTCAGGTGACAAAAAAATTCAGTCAGAAACTGTAGTGGCCTTTTGCCATGTAACTTTGGTTTTATTGAATAGCTAAATTATTCCACCGATTAAGCCTTGATTTATCATGTACCAACAAGCTCAAAAATTCACTTTCACCCAGTTTTGTTACACAGATGTTACACTCTGGCTGGCTGCCTAAGAAAGAAATACATGTATTAGTCCATCAAGCAAGTCTCTGGTGATCAGTGCACAATGGTAGTCAGATTTGCATCACTTCAAAGATGAATACACAACATATGAGGGTCCAGATCCTGAGGACTCATTTAAAAGGGAGAAAGAGCCATTTAGAGTTATTCGAACATCTATCCATGTTTGTGATCGTCCTTTTTCGGGGAGCAGAGTGGATTCCAGCTATGATTAAATTTGAGCAGGTGTCCATGGGCTGCATTGAACACTAAACTGCAAAACTCTGTCCACATTAGCAAATGACACATCCACCTTTCTCCTTGAATGGGTTCTTTTCCTCTGGAATGCCTTTGACCAAAGGATCCTCCTCTGCTCCGCTCTGAATGTACTCCGTAATCTCTTCACAGCATTTGGAGGTCTGACAGAAAAAAGAGATTGAAGTGACAATCAAACAAAAAAAGAGCATACCAACAATGCCTATACACGCTGTTGAAAGCCATCCAGGCCATCCAACTTTGATGTAGTCCATTTTGTGTAATCTGGCCATGAGTAGATTTGAACGCTTACCTTCGCCCTTTCCAGCTTCACCTCAGTTTTGAGCTGGGTTACTTCCATTGTAGCCTTATCCAGGTCTGTCAGATCTTCTACATTAATGACCGGCATTGTCTGTGAGAAATCAAATCAGACAATTACATCACAAGTGGTAGGGTATTTATGATTGATATTTGCAATTATACAAAAAATTGCAGATGACCAGACTTACTGCCGCTTACAATGAGGTCTCGTCGACCCCTGAAAATGGACAGAGATTCCGCACCTCTCCCTCAATCCGGTTTATAAAGTAATCTGCATAAACATAGTAATCTCTTAATCTTATTAAAACAAGCACACTATATTTTATCTTCCCATAGTCTTCTTCTCCAAATGTGTGGTCAGCTGTTCTTGTGGATTACCATATACACACAGCAAAGTAAATACATATTTACTTAACAATTGAATTACATCCTAAATAGTGAAATTGAAATAAAAGGGTTTCTAATGACCTTCGGATTGCAATATAGGTCAAGGGGACATAGAAAGTATTACAGGCTACTGTGATAAGCGTGCTAATCCATGTTTACCCCAACCTGTCACATTAGATAATTAATCATCTTCAAAGATATGACAAATGTATTCTCTTAAAACATTTCCCATATGTGTTTTTCCATGGTCACACATGAATAAAAAGGGGTTTTCATTATTATATCGTTAATAATAATATAAATGTTATTATTCCAATAGTATTATTTATTTATTTATTATTATATAGTAATTATAATGATTAGACATTCTTTTTTTTATTATAGGCTACTTTTACTATATACATGTTATTATTAATACTATAGTGGAATAGTTGTAGTAGTAGTTAGTAGTAAATTTGGCTTTGGTATAATTCTAAGGTCATGAAACAAGTCATTATTTATTTCCTACTTCGGGAATAGACGTATTTCGCTCTAGTAGCCTACATGGATACTGTGAAATTGTCATGGAAATGACTAAGTATAGCCCGCCCTTCCAATTCCCCCCTGACAATTTCTCCATTTATAAGGCAACGATTGGGAGAAGTCAAGTTAGTAACATATCAGGCGAGTAACATAGCAGTTAGTTAGTAGCCTATATCAGACTAACGTTACACGCGATCTTAGAATCCATAATCTCTCACAATGGTGTGTGATTTGCTTGGAGGTCTTTTGCTTATTGTTGTTCTGCTGCAAAGCGCCGTCGGACTACAACCCAAAGGTAAATATATCATTGTGCTTTTTTAATGGCTGTAAAGTGGCGAAACAGAGGCATTCTGTTGTTGAAACTTGACACTTAAAAGTTGCAAGTGAATTGGAGCTTGAGGTTTATAACATTTTTACCGCTTTATTTATTCCCTCACAGAAGTTTGTCTGTTGCAAATTGAAGAAGGAACGTGCAATGACGACATCCAGCGCTATTACTACAATACAATCACCCAACAGTGTGAAGAATTCAGCTATAGCGGTTGTGGAGGAAACGCAAACAACTTCAAGTCATTTTTGGAATGTCATAAAACTTGCTTCAGGATTCCAAGTACGTTTATTATAAATACACACATGCTCTGTAAACAATAGCCTACACATGGCATCCCTTATGAAAAAGAAGTTTATTCAAGTGTGCTATTAGTAGGCTATACTTCTGTTAAACCAAAAATAAGAAGGTATACTTTGTCTACTTTTTATGTTCTTTTCAAGAATATACTTTATGTAGTTCTCAGAATTATACTTAAAATTGCACTTAAGTATAGGCTATAGTTTGACTTATACTGACAGAAAAGTCCAAGTTTGCCCTATACTTGTAGTACTCAATCTTTTGATTGAGATATACTTAAAAGTGTAATTAAGTATTCTAAGTATACTTGGTTTGTAGTTGTGTTTACTCTTTTAAATGAGTATAGTGGCCTATTAACTCTTTCACCGCCAGCGCTTAAAAAAAAAAATCTGAACATGCAGTAGAACTTGTCTCTGCTTTAAAAAAAGATTTATTCTAGCTATTACGCATCTTCTGAAAGACCTCAGAATCTCCAGATCAAAAGAAACAGATGAAAAAGAAGCAAAAACAAGAGATAGAAGATAAACAGCACAAAAGTTCAAAACTGCCTAACGTTACTGAATGAAATGTCGACCCGGGAAGTGTTAACGACTGTGAAGCTTTGTAGGTGTGTTGATGGACACAATCTACTCCATCTATGTTTTGATCATCGCTCTGAAGTAATCTTTAAAAAGAAAAGCGATATTCTCAGCTTTTTGTGCAAAAAGTTGCTTTTTAAAAAAATGAACCTTACCCAGATTCAAGTGTTGATAAAAAAGGTTTCATGTTGTTTTAAATGTTTTTAAAACAGTCAAAGAACAGTTAAAGGTATTTGTCAGGTATAACAAATTAACACCTAAATTGGAACATAGTAGGCTAGTATACTTAAAGTGCAAAAATAATATATAAATTGTAAACTATAAGTATGATGTTGTGTTCACTTCAAGAACACTTACAAGTATACTTGCAACTACTAAAATAGTAGAGAGTACACTTCAAAGTGTACTTTTATAAACTAAAAAGTGTGCTACAAGTATTTGACTAGTAAACTACCAGTATACCTTTAAGTTCACTTGTAGTATAGTTGCAGTATGAATGAAAAACTTAGTTGTAAACTACTCAAAGTTTACTACTTTTACACTTAAAGTATACATCTAGTACATTGATATTAGTATACTTATACATGAAGTATACTTCAAAATATACTTGAACTTAAAGCTGCAGTCTGTAACTTTTGTCGCTCTAGCGGTTAATAAGCAGAACTGCATGCGTCTTGTGGAAGAACATTGTAGCCGGAGCTACTTCTCTCTGTTTATGTCTGTGACGAGTCAAGCAGGTACTGACATTGAAGCAGCATTGATTACAGCTTTTATAAACACAGCGCGTTGATCCCGGGAAATTGTCGGGAAATTGCCTTCTGTGTGAACGCAAACACGACCCGGGATTGATGCCGGGTTGGGGCTCTAGTAACATTGCCGTGTTCAGTCCCGGAACGCGCGCTGTGTGAACAAAAGCTGTAATCAGTGCCGCGTCGTAATGATGACGCTGAAGCCTGGATCGTTCGCCAGGGTGTTTATGATCGAATTAGAGAGAAAAAATGCACAAGCGTGGTTTCTCGAGAGAGAAATCGCAGCTCATAAGCAAACTGTAGACGCTGCTGAGACATTACATGTGCATGGCTCAAAATGAGAGCGAGACTGACAAACGCCCAGCAACAAGTGCCTCCACAAAGCAGGTGTCGATAAGCATTTACAAATGCTACACAATATGAAAAGGATTAGTTTTTTAGTTTAATACAAGTTATATTTGACTTTTAAGATGGCAATATTTACAATAATTTATTTTGTTTACAAATATAACTATTTTTAAAAGTTCTACATTTTTAGGAAACTTTCGTTTTACACAAAACTTTTTACTTTTTTATAAGACGTTTTTATTTCAAGCATTGTGTGCTTTGTTTAATTCAATTGTTTGAAATATTTAATAAATAAGCATTAATAGCTATCTGTGTGTTTCCTTATTATTTTAGAATCACAAAGATAGGATTATGCACTCTTTCATTAGAAAAAATAACCGTGAACATATTTACAGTATAAGCCTTGCCAGTGACGTATGAGAAAGAAAAAAATTTAAAATAATCGTTCAATAATCGTAATCGAGGTAACTTGTCCGATTAATCGTGATTATGATTTTAGCCAAAATCGTCCAGCCCTAACTTGATATAATTAAACTTATCAATTTGATGGCGGATCTAGAAAGGTTCAAACGACAATCACCAGTGACAACAGACTCACCCGCTGTAAAATACAAAAGACTTCGGACTTCGGAGTGGCTACAGAAAAAAAGAGATCTTAAGCGGGCCCATGCGAAAACAAGGATAAATATCGGAAAGGCATTAAATGTAGTCACGCAATGCTGATGTTGTTAACATTATCAATTTGAGAACAAAGTATAATTTGCATGGTTTGACGTGATATGATAAGCGATCGTTAGATTTAATCAGCGCGATTTATTGCTATGCTTTTTTCCCTTAGTTGGTCAGAACAAAAGTGGATGTTACTTACTTGTTCAGATGACATTTTCCAGTGAAAATTATTATGTTGGTCATACTTCCAAAAAGTAGCATCTTTGATTCCGATTGCCAGTATAGACACCGGCGCGGTGACTGACAGCCGCACATTCTCCTCAAAACATCGGATTCATCCGCGCTGTGCCGTGCCGAGGCACAACTCACGTAAAGTTGATAATTCCGCAAATAACTGCAATTGCAGATTTCGAACAGAGATGGCGACAAAGAGGAAAAACTGCGGACTGCAGCTTTAAGATAGGTGTAGCGTAGTGATTCAGGATGAGACAAAAACATGGTTTGGAAAATGTATTCATGATGTACTCGCTTATTTTGTAAATTTTGATGAGAATTCTGAGGGTCTAAAATGATCATAAGCTCACTTCTCAGTAATTTGTTCAAATGACGTGAAATGCTCACTTAAACGTGTTTTGTTTTGCACACCACAGAAATCCCCCAGATCTGCCGTTTTCAAAAGAAAGAGGGGCCCTGCCGAGGCCTCTTCAAGCGTTACTTCTTCAATATGACCTCCATGCAGTGCGAATCCTTCACTTATGGTGGTTGCCAAGGCAATGAAAACATGTTTGAAAACCTTCAGGGATGTCTGGAATATTGCAAACCTCCTAAAAGTAAGTAGAAACACTGTAGCTGTAGCATTTCTAAAAAAAAAAAGTCTCATTGAAGCATTTGCAGTTTAGATCAAATAATTAAAATGCAGAATAAAAAATGTATTTAAAAGGCAAGATGTATGTGCTTTGCCATCTTCAGAATAAAAGCAGCAATAAACCATTGGACCTTGATAATGATTTGGTGAGGAAATGTCAATGGCATTAATAAAACTGATGAGCAGAACATAGTACAGAACATTAAGGGACCGGTGTACTTGTTGGGACCCTTCGTTGGAACACATTAAGACATTTTTGTTCTTGTCTTTTCGAATCATCAGCACAATAATCTTGTTTAATGGCCTTCATGTCTAAATGGTTTCCAGTCTCTTGCCTGGCTTGTTTATTAATGTACTCCGGCTCCACCTAGAACACTTTTTGAGGTCCCTAGAAAATGCAAATATCGAAAGTTAAACATTTCTGTTGTGTTTAATTTTTTCAGCGATCCCTGTGATTTGCCATGATATTTTGGATAAAGGAAAGTGCTTAGCTTCCATACCAAGGTATTACTACAGCTCTGCTACAAAAACATGCGAGGAGTTCATATACACAGGATGCGGAGGAAGCAACAATAACTTCATCTCCAAACAAAGCTGCATGGATGTTTGTGGTAAAAACGGTATGTTTGATCGCTTTGGGTTTGAGAAAGTCATTATCAAGACAATAGGACAGCACTATTTTCAATGTCTTGTCTAACCATGTGTTTTGTTGTTCGCAGGGAGCAAACATTGGAGTACCTCAAAGAAGTCAATAAGAGTTTCTAAACAGTACCTAAGACGAGTAAAGGCACAGCCACCAAGGGAGAAGTCGACCAAATAATTGTTCATTAAGTCATTCTCACTATTTTACTGACAAAGATGATTGCACTGATTTTACAGTATTGGATGCACAGCTCACTCTGTGTACATATGATATTGATTGTTTTTAAAATGAAGGTTTGTTTAATATTCTCATGTATTTTGTATGCCTATGTATATTTTTATTTTCAATAAGAATTTAACTTTTTTTATTTTATTATTTGTATTATTAAATACAATAATAAGTCTAACACTGTTTAAAAGCATAAAACTGTTGATAAAGCATAATGTTTAACTGACAATGATTACTTAGCAACATTATTTAATATGCTGAAGTTTTATCAAGCATCATCTAAGTCTAGGCGAAGTAACATGACAGTCATTTCAGAAAGCTATAGTGACACCTAAACAAGAGCAAGCATGAAAAACAAAAATAGTCTGTTGGGTTAAAAATAGCAGGTTGTTCTTTGTGCAAAATTTCGAGAAATGCCAAATTGTTTAAATTACACGTGTTTGACCTGGGTGTTTTATATTAATTTATATATAATGTATACCTACATTTTATACTAAATTGAATTCAATCATGTTGTGTCTCATGCCTTTGTAACGGCACTTTATATCAATCCCGAATAAAGTCTTTCATCTGCATCAATAATTTCTCGAATCATTTTTGAAGTATTAAAGACAACTCTCAATTCATGTTGTTGTTTGATCTGTCACATGAAAAATATTACCATAAATAGCCTAACACATCATCACTCGCATAATCATCTTTAATCATTTTAATTTCCAAAATCCCAAAATTGACATTATTGTTGTTAAAGTAGCCTATATAAATGTAATATAATTTGTTCTTAATCCTTAAAATTCCTTAATCACCAGAAAATGAACATTTTGACATCACTTACACGCTGTTCAAACCCTGTATGGGTTTCTTTCTTCTGTTGAACACAGAAGAAGATATTTTGAAGAATGTTGGTAATCAAACTGTTGACTGTAGCCATGACCTCCATAATAGAAAAAAAACTGACTGGTTACCAACATTTTAAAAAAATATTTTATTTTGTGTTCAACAGAAGAAAGAACCTCATACAGGTTTGGAACAACACTCCCGTTTTCGCCGGGAATCTCCCGTATTTTACACCCATCTCCCGCCCCACTCCCTTTTTGTTATTTCTCCCGGAAAACTCCCGTAGCTCCTCGTAAATAAAAAATAACATCAATATATTATTCCAAGGTTGTCCAGTTGCCAGATCTTGTATGAAACGCAGCCTACTCACTCAATCGCAATACTACAAATGTGTGCGTTTCATATCTCGAAGCCATATCACGGTGGGGTGATCTTCTGCGTCGACCTCTCGCCGTAGCTACGTCGTAGGCTGTGTGTAGCGCGCGTACCCTTCGGCGTACCCTGACGTGCACCTCTCCAAAAATGTACCACAACGCGTCAATTCTACGCGGACGCAAGCGCCGTGATTGGTCTGCTAGAACCGCTCCCTCGGGTTTCACATGTTCACTCTGCGTGCATCGACACTGACAACGACGCAGAAGTATAAATTAAAACCAACGCGTAGTCTACAGCGTAGAGGCTCCGCCGTAGGTCCGACGCAGAAGTATAAATCAGCCTTTACTCAGCACATTAAATCACAATCGGGCTGCAGAGGCACAGAAGGCCATTTCTACCTTGACTTAGGCCTATTCGTGTTTCTTTTTATCTTTATTAATAATTATGTAATTATTGTAATGTATAACCATGAACAACACGAGGGTGAGTAAATTATGACAGAATTATTTTATTTTTGGGTGAACTATCCCTTTAATGGTTATCACGTGAAGTTTTGTTTGAAAGTATGGCGCCCCCTAGTTTATCTACCACGTAATTAACTTGTTAGGTCAGATAAATGGTCGACATAATGTGGCCTGAGGCATCTGTCACACAGAAAATTTAATTTTATGTCAAGATCAATAAAGCAAAGCTGAATTTATCATGAACAAATTTGGTAACTTAACTAGTCAGTCTCAGTCAATGGTTTCAGATTAATGTTGTCTAAAACAGCCACAAGGTGGAGTTATGTATTCATGCAATATAATGCTCTGCTACTGGAACTCTCCAAGAAATTATTTTGCTGTTCATAAAAAGACCATTAAAGCACTTTTTTTTTACATTGTTGAAGACACACAGATTACATTCTTAAAAGCATTTCTGCAGCTCAATATTTTAAGTTGGCATGAAAAGGGTGGTATTTCATTGTTCTTTTCCATTGAATTTAGAAAGTGTTGTTTTTCCCAACCTGAATAAGACAGTGTTATAAATGATCTAAATATATACCTGATGGAAAGAACTGAAGTCTCAATATGCAACATCCTCCCTTGAGGTTAGAGACTTAAAACAATTATAATTGCACTATGATATATCTGGAATACATTTTGATAAGCTGCAGCTTTTCCTCCAATAACAAGAAATACAGAAATTATTATTCCAGAAATACAGGCTCATTGTGAATTCATGTCACTCATATATGGGAGTTAGATTACAATCTTACGTCTTCCGCAGAGTCTGCATGTCCTGTGGTGAAGTCTGCAAAGGTTAATAGTTTTATACTAAAAAGAGATTTGTTAGCTCTCAGCAGGTTTAGCAGGTTGCACAGCAGCACAACTGAATTTGGGGCTTAATAAAGTCATATATTACAGGTTTGCTGAGAGGTGGCAGGATACTGCCAATGAAATAAATACACAAATCAGTCAATCAGCAAAGGTGTGCTTTATGTAAATCACAAGTCTGGAACTTTCATTTCTCGGCAGTGACACATTTAAATTAAAAGTGACAGTTTTTCCACAGAGTCTGCAAAACCCATTTACAAATGTTTAATAATGCAGAACACCTCATAAGTTACTGGTTTGTTGAAACTTCAAATTCTCTTTGGGTGAGGCCCCACAAATATAATTCTTATTAAGCAACCACATATTTCTTTTTGTCTTAGTAAAAACTTATGCCCTTAGATATGTATATCCTGAAATATTAAGGCTTTCGTAAACTGCTAAAAAAAATAAAATGAGAGCATATTCAATGTATATTCACATGTACATGCAATGTATATTCACTTTGGAGAGAAATAACATAAACAAAAAATACACGGTAAAATACTTAGATATTTAGGACACTACAATTATTTATTTTATTAAAAGATAATCAACATTTTAATTCATCTTAATATTAACATCTTAATTTATCTTCACTTTACATCAAACTGCAATAACAGCAGCAGCAATAACAGAAGCAGCAGCAATAACAGCAGAAGCAATAACATCATCAGCAGCAGCAATAACAGGAGCAGCAATAATCAACAGCAGCAGCAATAATCAACAGCAGCAGCAGCAATAACAGGAGCAGCAATAATCAACAGCAGCAGCAGCAATAACCGGAGCAGCAATAATAAACAGCAGTAGCAATAACAGCAGCAGCAGCAATAACAGAAGCAGCAATAATAAACAGCAGTAGCAATAACAGCAGCAGCAGCAATAACAGCAGTAGCAATAACAGCAGCAGCAGCAATAACAGCAGCAGCAATAATCAACAGCAGCAGCAATAACAGAAGCAGCAATAATAAACAGCAGCAGCAATAATAAACAGCAGCAGCAATAACAGAAGCAGCAATAATCAACAGCAGTAGCAATAACAGCAGCAGCAATAATCAACAACAGCAGCAATAACAGCAGCGGTAGCAAAAAGAGCAGCAATAATCAACAACAGCAGCAATAACAGCAGCAGCAATAATAAACAGCAGTAGCAATAACAGCAGCAGCAATAATAAACAGCAGTAGCAATAACAGCAGCAGCAGCAATAACAGCAGCAGCAATAATCAACAGCAGCAGCAGCAATAACAGAAGCAGCAATAATAAACAGCAGTAGCAATAACAGCAGCAGCAATAATCAACAACAGCAGCAATAACAGCAGCGGTAGCAAAAAGAGCAGCAATAATCAACAACAACAGCAATAACAGCAGCAGCAATAATAAACAGCAGTAGCAATAACAGCAGCAGCAATAATAAACAGCAGTAGCAATAACAGCAGCAGCAGCAATAACAGAAGCAGCAATAATAAACAGCAGTAGCAATAACAGCAGCAGCAATAATAAACAGCAGCAGCAATAACAGAAGCAGCAATAATCAACAGCAGCAGCAGCAGCAATAACAGAAGCAGCAATAATCAACAGCAGCAGCAGCAGCAATAACCGGAGCAGCAATAATCAACAACAGCAGCAATAACAGCAGCGGTAGCAAAAAGAGCAGCAATAATCAACAACAGCAGCAATAACAGCAGCGGTAGCAAAAAGAGCAGCAATAATCAACAATAGCAGCAATAACAGCAGCGGTAGCAAAAAGAGCAGCAGCAATAATAACAGCAGCAGCAATAATAACAGCAGCAGCAGCAGCAATTACAGCAGCAGCAATAACAGCAGCAGCAGCAATAACAGCAGCAGCAATAATAACAGCAGCAGCAGCAGCAATTACTGCAGCAGCAATAACAGCAGCAGCAGCAATAACTGCAGCAGCAGCAATAACAGCAGCAGCAATAATAACAGCAGCAGCAATAACAGCAGCAGCAATAATAACGGCAGCAGCAGCAATAACAGCAGCAGCAATAATAACAGCAGCAATAGCAGCAGCAGCAATAACAGCAGCAGCAGCAATAGCAGCAGCAATAGCAGCAGCAGCAATAACAGCAGCAGCAGCAATAACAGCAGCAGCAGCAATAGCAGCAGCAGCAGCAGCAATAACAGCAGCAGCAGCAATAACAGCAGCAGCAGCAGCAATAACAGCAGCAGCAGCAATAACAGCAGCAGCAGCAATAGCAGCAGCAGCAGCAGCAATAACAGCAGCAGCAGCAATAACAGCAGCAGCAGCAATAACAGCAGCAGCAGCAATAACAGCAGCAGCAATAACAGCAGCAGCAGCAATAGCAGCAGCAGCAATAACAGCAGCAGCAGCAATAGCAGCAGCAGCAGCAGCAGCAGCAATAACAGCAGCAGCAGCAATAACAGCAGCAGCAGCAATAACAGCAGCAGCAGCAATAGCAGCAGCAGCAGCAGCAATAACAGCAGCAGCAGCAATAACAGCAGCAGCAGCAGCAATAACAGCAGCAGCAGCAATAACAGCAGCAGCAGCAGCAATAACAGCAGCAGCAGCAATAACAGCAGCAGCAGCAGCAATAGCAGCAGCAGCAGCAATAGCAGCAGCAGCAGCAGGAATAATAACAGCAGCAGCAGCAGCATTATTTAATAGTCATGTACATTACCATCCCAAATATTTAGGAAGTTGTCATGACACAACTAATGTTAACAAATGAAACCCTATTGTAAAGGGTTACCAAATTCTTTAAAAAAAGAAAAATCGGTTAAAAACTCATTTCAGATTTTCAATGCTCAGAAGGGGAAGAGGAACTGAAATATGACAATGCTATTACTTCACACCATTGATAACATAAAAGATAATGACTCTATCTTTATCTATAATTTCCCATACACGATGAGCAGTTCATGGAGTGAAGAGAAATAAGGGCTGTTGTAGGGGTTCTTCAAACACAACACAGCCTGTATCTCATTTGCTCAGTGCCTCAGGGAGTGAAGGTGGCATCGAGACAAACTG